TTGCTCAGCATAAAGGTTGAATAAGTATGGTGAAAGAATACAACCTTGTCACACACCTTTCCCAATTTTAAAACATTCAGTGTTCCCATGCTCTGTTCAAACAACTGCTTCTTGGTCCAGATACAGATTCCTCAGAAGTACAATTAAATGTTCTGGAATACTCATACTTCACAATGTTGTCCATAGCTTGTCATGATCCACCCAATCGAAAGCCTTTGCATAGTCAATAAAACATAGGTAAACATCTTTCTGATATTCTCTGCTTTCAGCCAAGATACATCGGACATCAGCAATGATATCTCTCAGAGGTAGTAACTCTAAATGCCAACAGAGAGTGAAGGAGTCCTCACATCAAGTATCAATGCTATCCCGTCTGTACACAGGGTAGATAGGGATGGGCAACTTAATTGGCTACCTAAAATGAGGGGGTAATAAAGGCACAATGTGACTGGCTTACAAGGTTTCAAGGGGGAGTTTAGTTTAACAATGTGTAGGGGAATAAAGAGTGTCTACTGAATAGTTTTCACCTTGTCTAGACGGGTCTGGTTAAAAGAGATGGGGATAGGATTCTTAGGATTCAATAGTGAGTAATTACTATCATGACTAATTGCAACTGTCACAATTATAAAGGTAGAAGTTTTATAACAAAAACAGGGGAGTAGTTAATCTTATAATCCTGAAACAAAGGACCCTAGGACTATCAGGGGAGAAGAGCACAAGCAGAATGCAAGACCTTATCCAGAGAAGCAGCGATATCAGAGATGGAGGCAGAGATGGGGACATGGAGAGAGGGGGCAGCTGAGGACTCCAGATGCATGGAAAAAGAGGGACTAAGAGCTGGTGGCCATGAGGCTGACTTGCAGAATGTGCCCTTTGGTGGTATAAATTATTATATATGCTTGAGTGTTTTTTAAAAAAAAGAGCTAAAGTGAATAGAGAAAAACACTGTTAACTAATGGTATATGGAGCAAATTATAATCATTGTAACGAAACAAGTCTTGCTGCATAAGACTTCCTTGAAGTGTTCAAGAGCAAAGATGTCAATATGAGGACTAAGGCGCTCCTGACCCAAGCCATGGTATTTTCAATAACCTTGTAAGCATGCGAAAGCTGGACAGTGACTTAGGAAGACCGAAGAAGAATTGATGTGTTTGAGTTATGGTTTTGAAGGAGAATATTGAAAGTATCATAGACAGCCAAAAGAACAAATAGATCTGTGTTGGAAGAAGTACAGCCAGAGTGCTCCTTGGAAACCAGGATTTTCAGACTTTGTCTCACATACTTTGGATATATTATCAGGAAGGACCAGTCACTGGAGAAGGATATCAAGTTTGGTAAGGTGGGGGGTTGAAGAAAGAGAGGAAGACCCCTAGCGAGATGCACTGGCACAGTGGCAGCATCAATAGGCTTAAATGTATACAAGATTGTGAGGTTGGCGTAGGACTGTGCAGAGTTTTGTTCTATGTGTCAGTACAAACTCAATGGCACCTAACAACAACAAAAGCACCGTCTTTGCAGTTCAAACTGACCTTGAGTTCGAGTGCTTATCCTACCGCGCCACTCCAATATTTAGAGCAGCTTTACTCATAATTGCCCACATTTGGAAGCAAACAACTTCAACAGATGGTACATGTATATTGGAGTTATTCAACAACGAAAAGAAATGAGCTTTCAAACTATGAAAGTGCATGGAGGAAGCATAAATGCATATTAACAAGGCTGCTCTGACAAAGCTACAAACTGATTCCAACATGATGGCATTCTGGAAAAGGCGCAAAAACGTATTTGTTGTTGTTAATTATATGTTGTTGTTGTTTTGACGTGCCATTGAGTCAATTCTGACTCATAGCGACCCTATATAGGGTTTCCAAGCAGCAGCTGGTGAGCTTGAACCTCAAACCTTGCAGTTCAAACGGCTATGCAGTCTGGAGCATTAACCCACAGCGCCACACCAGGATGTAGTGGTTATGAATTGGGCTGCAAACCTTAAGGTCAGCAGTTCGAAACTACCAGTTCTTCTGTACAGCCTCGGAAACCCTGTACAGGGTCTCTCTGAGTCGGAACCAACTCCAAGGCACATAACGTCAACAACCGTTTCATTGATACAGTGGCTGCAATATCGGGCTAAAAAAATATTAACAGTTGTGAGGATGGCACCAGCGGCCGGTAGTGTTTGGTTCTGTTGTGTGACTCCGAACCAAGTCCACATCTTACAACTACCACCACCGCAGGAATGTAAGCTGTTAGTAACAAAAGCAACAGTGTGCAGGAGGGAGAGAAAGATATATGGGAACTCTGTATTTTCTGTACAATTTTTCTTTAAGCCTAAAGTTGCTCGAAAAAAAATTAGTTTATTGAGAGAGAAAGAGAGAGCCTGACGTTCAGAATGCCGCTAAGAGATGAAAGCCTAAACCAGGGGGAAGGGAGTACGGCCACGTTAGTTTAAATCTTGAGATAGGTTGTTTTCCTCTTTGAAAACCATAATGAGGACCCGCCACCGCATCAGAGTGGGTACGACAATAAAAGAGCTCAGGTTTTGAGTTATTTGGAGCATTTGATGTTGTTAAGTGCCGTCAGTCGGTTCCGACCCACAGCGACCCTGTTTTGGGTTTCCAAGGAGCGGCTGGTGAGCTTGAACCGCCGACAGTGAGGTTCAAACTGACTTTGCAGTCCAGCGCATTAACCCACAGCGCTACATCTCAATAGATGGAAGGTCCCCAAATTCGCCAATCCCTTCAATGTCCCACCCCTCGGTCTTCGCCCCGGGGTTTTGGAGTTGGAAGTGGCACAAGAGCCCGAGAGGAAAGGGATCCGAGGCGTGTTCCCCGGCCGAAGATTTCAACCTTCGGAGCTGAAATCCCATACCCCGCACGATGTCCGTCTCTACCGCACGTTTCAACAGTAATCAAACGCCCTCCCACCCACCTCTTACCTTTACACAGCACCACGAACTCCAAGTTTTCTCAGCCTGTATCGCGTCTGCGCGGCTAGGGCCAAGTACTTACGCGCGCGCTGCTTGCTGATTGGATCCGTCGCGCCTACTCCAGCCAATCAAGAAACTCCCTGGCTGTTTACGAAAAGACTGCGCCGCTGGTTTGAGATTGGTAGTTGAGCGGAGAGCGTCGCTCATTTCCTGACGCCTCGGGCAGCATGGCGGCGGAAGGTGGTGGTGATTTACACCTGAAAAGGAGAAGGCGCCGGGAGCAGGAGGATCCGGAAAAAACGGAACCCAGCGGACAGGAGTTGGCAGCGTCGGTGGCCCAAGAAAATGATGAGGAGAATGAAGAGCGCTGGGTTGGGCCTTTACCTGTGGAGGCAACTCTGGCCAAGAAAAGGAAAGGTAGCTGCAGAGATCGACCCAGGGCAAAGTTAGAATGCCGTGAGGCCTCAGAGTGCTAGAGTTCTAGCCAGACCTGAATAGGGATTTGTGATTGTGGAGTTTTGTGCCCCAAGAATAGAAGGTCGCCTTCTTCCAAGAAGCCCTGGTGTTTCAAACCCACCAGTTGCGGAAGAAAGATGTGGCAGTGTACTTAGGTAAAGATTTGCAGCCTTGGAAATCTTATAGGGGCAATTCAACTCTGTTCTACAGGGTCACTAAGAGTTGAAATTAATTCCACAACAGTGAGTTTGGGTTTTTTGATTCTTCTGGCCACTGTACTTTCACATTATTCTGAAATATAAAGGAAAATAAGACATAATCACTGTGCTTAAGAAACTATCAATTTATTGAAAATCAGTGCCACGTATTAATCTACGTTGTTGTTAAGTGCTGTCGAGTTGGTTCCGACTCCGCTACCCTGTATAGAATTTCTGAGGAGCAGCTGGTGGATTTGAACTGCCAATCTTGTGATTGCAGTCCAGTGCTTATCCTACAGTGCCACACCAAAAGTTAATATTTATATATAATGTATTCATATATTAGGTGTTCCTGAAAGTGTATGCTGTTTTCTGAAAGTGCGTATAGTTTATGTACATTTTATATAAGCTATTCAACTTCGGCCCTGGTGTGGTGCCCTAGGATAAGCACTGTATCTCAAAGTCAGGCAAAGTTAGTGGTTCGAACTCACCACCTGCTCCTTGGAAACCTTATACAGGGTTACTGTGAGTCTTAATGACTTGATGGCACTTTACCCCAAGTACAATACTTCCTTTTGTGGTGCTGTAGATTAAGCACTGGACAAAACTACAAGGTCAGCAGTTCAACTCCACCTGCTGCTTCTCAGAAACCCTATATACGGGGTCAGTATAAGTCAGAGCCAACTTGATGGCACTTAACAACAACACACATACATAAACCAAAACTACTGCCAGAGAGTTGATTCCGACTCACAGTGATCCTACATAGGGCTTCATCTGAGACTGTAAATCTTTTCAGGAGCAGACAGCCTGTAGAATGGAATAGAGCAGACACATGCTGGTAGGATGCTGCAGTTGGCAGCCCAGACTTAACCCTCAGGGCCACCAGAGTGCTATATAATTTGTATAATAATCAAGGCATTGTACAGGGACTTTTTGATGATGTCTATATATAGAGTCCTGGTGTGGCACTTTGGGCTAATGCATCAGACTGCAGAGTTGTTTGAACTGCAAGGTCATTGGTTCAAGCTCACTAGCTGCTCTTTGGGAACTCCATACAGGGTATATATGGGTCAGGATCGACTGTACGGCACTTAACAATAACTACAAACACTTAATAATCATGAATTTTTAAACTGACTAACTCGATGGTACTTAACAACAGACACTAATATTTGTCTATACTGTGTGCTTCCTGCTTATTTAATCTTGTTAGCCACTCTATGAGGTTGGAATTTCCTACTCTTTTGCAGGTTAGAAAGAGTACTGACGCTCCCCACATGAAAGCTGCCACGGTGGCGGTAGTGTTTTGGGGAAAGCAGTAGTATGACACCTATATTTAAAATAATATTTAAACCCTGACCCTTCCACTGGTGGGTTTTCTGACATCGGGAAAGTTACTTAAGTTTCCTGGACCACAAGCTTGTACATCTAAAATCCAAGTTATGTGATTCTTAAACTATATCATGAAATGCCATGGACCAAAGTGTTTTGCAACTAAAGTGTATACTGACCAATTTTGAATAAGTAAAAAAGATGGGGAAAGGAATACATTAAATTCTCTTGTGTTTCATATATTCCTGTAACATAGTAAAGATCATCAATATGTGGTCTTAATATATTTGCAATGTCTTTCCAAACTAAATATTAATTCATCACTCTCCCCTACTTGAAACTTATTGCTTTCGAAATAAAGTTCAAACTCCCTAATGTGGCTTACAAGTCCCTCAATGATCAGATCTCATCATAACTCCTCAGTCAGATCTTTCCATTTATCTCTTCTCCCAATCCAGTGTGGAGTCCTGGTATGGCACTGTAAGGATAAGCACTGGACCACAAGGTCAGTTTGAACTATAAGCCTGGTGGTTTAAACCCACCAGCTGCTCCTCAGAAACCCTATACAGGGTCGCTATCAGTTGGAGCCAACTCAAAAGCACTTAACAACAACGACCTCCACCCAACCCAGTGTCTTTCCTGCTTACTGTGCACCAACCATTTAAACCATGTTCATTTTCTCCTCTGAATGCCTGCCCAAGAATCATGATGTCCGCCTAGAATAATTTCCATCACCCTTTTCACTGGGCTACATCTGTTCAACTTTTAGTGCTCAGCTCAGCTGTCACCCTCTTTTGGGAAGCCTGTGACTTCTCCAGTCTGGGCTGAGTTTCTAAGGCACCTTGATCTTAACTCTGAAGTGATACTTATCAGCTAAAGATATAAGCAACCCTCAAGTTTTGAACATTTTATTGTCAATTGAGTGAAGGTATGTTGTTATTGATAAGTGCTGTCAAGTCAGTTCTAACTCATGACAACCCTATAGGGTTTCCGAGGAGCAGCTAATGGGTTTAAACAGCTAACCTTGTGGTTCTCATCCAGTGCAGATCCTATAGTGCCACACCGGAGCAATTAATCAGTTTTACATTCAATAAATCATATACTTGGATTGCAATCTCTTCCAGGTACCATTAGTTAACAGTATTAGTCTCTATTCAATTTAAGTCTTGCATTCCTCCTTGTGAGTAACCCTTAAATTTTTTCAATGTTTTAGAGAATCTACTTTTTTGAACATTGCACATTGACACCCTTAATTACCTTTTTTATACCAGGTGTTACTTTTAAATCTTAGACAAAAAAAAAATGTAATGACTTCCTTTTTCCTTACTGCACTTGCCAGTGTGTAATTGTATGTTTATCCATGTGATTGTCTGATTATCTCCATTTTTGTCATAAAGGCAAGATGTATGCCTGTTTTTCTCTACTGCTTGATATAATGCTTTGCACATAGCAGGTATTTATAAATATATTTTGAGTAAATAAATATGCTGTTAATTATATTATTACACTTTACTATTTTTGCATGTCCTTATTTTATGGAACCAAGAGGGAAAAAATGGAAAACTTCCAGAGTATCAAGTTGCTGATATTTGTGTCAAGAGACAAATATTTTATAAACTTAATATGTTATTAAGTGCCTTTGAGTCGGTTCCGACTCACCCTGTACAGGGTTTCTGAGGAGTGGCTAGTAGATTTAAACTGCCTTCTTGCAGTTCAGGTCAGCCTTGCTGTACAGTACTTATCCTACACCAGGATTCCAAACTTAATATATTGTTGTTGCCTTTGCGCCAGTTCCGAGTCCTAGTGACCCTGTATAGGGTTTCCAAGGAACAGCTGGTGGATTTGAACTGCTGACCTTTTGGTTCACAGTTCAATGCTTATTTACAGCACCACACCAGGATTCTGAACTTAACACGTTGTTGTTAAGTGTCATTGAGTCAGTTCTTCAATGTTTCCAACTCATAGTGACCCTGTAAAGGGTTTCTGAGGAGCAGCTGGTGTTCTTGAACTTCCAACCTTGCTGTTAAAACTGACCTTGCAGTCCAGTGCATTAACTCACAGCGCCACACCAGGACTCCAAACTTAATATTTTGTTGTTGTTGTTAAGTGCCGTCGAGTTGATTCTGATCCATAGCGACCCTGTATTGGGTTCCCATGGAGCAGCTGGTGACCTTGAACCACCAACCTTGCAGTTCAAATGACTTTGCAGTCTGATGCCTTAGCCCACAGTGTCACACTAGGAGTCCTATATAGTTGATACAAATTTGGAAATCATTAGGTGTGAAAATACCCTCAATCAGATGCATATTGGAGCTAAGTCAGTCAGCACTGTATTCAGTTTAAAGAGAAACTTGATATTTAAAAACAAGTATGAAATGGTAGAAAAATATCATTTAAGATATAGTCCAAAGTGTAGTAGTTTTATATTTTTAACTTTCAAGAAATTGAGCCATCCTCTTTAATATAAACTTTGGACATTGGACTTTTAAAGATAGTTTCAGAAGACATCGTATATAAATATATGTCACTACCTTTAAGTAAAAGGAGCTCTGGTAGCGTAGTGGTTATGAATCGGGCTGCGAACCGCAAGGTCAGCAGTTCGAAACTACCAGCTGCTCTGTGGGAGAAAGATGAGGAGTTCTGCTCCCGTAAAGATTAACAGCCTTGGAAACCCTGCGCAGGGTCGCTATTTAAGTAAACTGTTTCTTAACCATCATGATTATATCTTATTTTCCTTGTCATATTACTGGAACTCTTTGGTTATTGACATATATTTATACAATAAGTAAACCAGTGAACAGCAAAAGGAGTTTACTTCTGGCAGGATTAAATTTAGCTGCATATTACAGAAAAACCCAAAGTGATAACAAGTATAAAAACAGATTTGATTATCACACATATAAAAGAAGTCCCTAAGTAGGCAGACCAGGATTGATAAGCAGGCAGCATGCTCCTAGACTCTTTCTAACTTTCTGTTCTAACTTCAGTATTTTGTAGTTCTCATCTTCATTGTCCAGAGTGGCTATTAGAATTACAGTACAGTGATCATACCCCAATTCCAAGATAAAGGATTGAGAAGAGGGTGTGCCTTCTTTTTATGGAGACTTCTGATTTTCACACAGCAAGCACCTCCACTTTTATCTCATTGGCCTGAATTTAGGCACATGGTCATACCTAATTTTAGGAGAGGGTGAGAAAAAGTAATTTTGAGTTGGAAGCTAATTTATGTAACCTTGTAAGTATGGAGGTTCTGTTACTAAAATGAGGGGGGAAGTAGTTTGTAGGAGATAACTTTGAATTTGTTATAGAATAGTTAATGAAAAACCCTGAAACAGCTCATCATTTATAAGCATGTTTGGCCACAGTTGGATTATATTATTTGGTACATATATAATAATATAAGGAGCTCTGGTAGCGTAGTGGTTACGAATCGGGCTGTGAACCTTAAGGTCAGTGGTTTGAAACTACCAGCCGCTCTGCGGGAGAAGGATGAGCTTTCTACTCCCGTAAAGATTTACACCCTCGGAAACCCTGTACAGGGTCACTATGGATCGGAACCGACTCGACGGCACTTAACAACAACAACAACATATAATATATTATTTTTGGCTAGTAAAATTGTTTATAACTCATATAATGGAATCAGGGTTTTCTCTGCTCCAAATATGTATTGTGTTTATGAGTTTTAAATACAGAATCAGTACTTTCAAAGAAAGTTGGTGGTTAAGAGCCACTGAGTCGATTCTGACTCATAGAGACCCTGTATAGAGTTTCCAAGGAGTGATTGGTGGGTTTGAACTGCCGACCTGCGGTTAGCAGTCCAGTGCTTATTCTATACTGTTTCAATGCCATATCTAGACATTGATTCCATTCTAGAGTAGTAGGTTACACGTTGGGCTGTTAACCACAAAGTTAGCAATTTGAATCCACCAGCAACTTGTAGAAGAAAGATGAGGCTTTCTGCTTCTATCAGCCACTCTGAGGGAGAAGGATAAGGCTTTCTGCTCCTGTAAAGATCTGCAGCCTCAGAAACCCTGTACAGGTTCACTATGAGTTAGAATCAACTTGATGGCATGCAGTAGTAAGAGAGATTGATCCCATGTGTTAATTTAGATTAGTACTAATGTTGTATTATGTATTGCACTGGGCAAATCTGCTGCACAGGAACTTTATAAAGTGTTGAAGAGCAGAGATGTCAGCTTGAGGACTAGGGTGCGCCTGTCCCAGGCCATTGTGTTTTCAATAGCCTCATATGGATGCGAAAGCTGGACAGTGAATAAGGAGGATCGTAGAAGAATTGATGCCTTTGAGTTGTGGTGTTGGAGGAGAATACTGAAAGTGCCATGGACTGCCAAAAGAACCAATAGATCTGTTTTGGAAGCAGTGCAGCCAGAGTGCTCCTTGGAGGCCAGGATGGCTAAGCTTCGTCTCTCCTACTTTGAACATATTGTCCGGAGGAAACGATCGTTGGAGAAGGATGTCATGCTGGGTAGGGTGGAGGGTCAGAGAAAAAGAGGAAGACCCCCAATGAGATGGATCAGCCAGGTGGCATCATTGATGGACTCAAGTGTGGCAGCGGTAGTGAGGTTGGCCCAGGATCGAACATTGTTTCGTTCTGCTGTGCATGGGGTCGCTATGAGTCGGTTCTGACTCGATGGCACCTGACAACAACAACAACAACAATGTTGTATTTGCGTGATTAAAACAACTTTCATGAATTTTTAAAGAATTTGTATTTTTAATTGCACTTCACATTAAGCCAGATCCAATTAATTCTTCACAGGACAAGCTTAGCATCTCTATAATACCCAGGAACCTGTCATGACTGACTAAATAATTAAGTACTTTGGAATAATAACAGTTACATATGACATAGCAGACACTGGATATTTTTCATCATTACATGTGAATTTAGAACAACTAAAATCTAGGAGAAAATACAAAGTAAAATGTAGTAGTGTGCTGCCAAGTTGGTTCTGACTCTTAGTGATCCTGTATTGGGTTTCCGAGGCTGTAAATCTTTACAGGAGCAGAAAGCCTTGTCCTTCTCCCTCAGTGGCTGATACATTTGAACAGTTGACCTTTCCGTTAGCAGTCCACCACGTAACCACTATGCTACCAAAATAAGAGTATAGAACTTTTTAAATAATGAAGAAAATACAAAATAATATTTAGTTCCATTTGTCTTACAAATGTTTTTTTTTTTTTTTTTTTACTTTTTCTTCAGTTCTAGAGTTTGAAAGAGTCTATCTTGACAATCTCCCCAGTGCATCCATGTATGAGCGCAGTTATATGCATAGAGATGTTATTACCCACGTAGTGTGCACCAAGTAAGTGTCTTACCTTTTTACTTTTTTTGAGTTTATTTTTCTGATGCTTCAATTTTGAGGTGGATTTGTAAAAATTACTTTAAGATATTATAAACTTCTGTTTAATTCCACAGCCTCTGATACTTTTACATTAAAAGACCGGCTGTTGTTTTACGCAAATGCAACATTTTTCATCCTGCGCTTGCCCCATACGCTATTTTTATAAGCTCTTATATACCGGTATGTTTTTACTTGTTGATGACTTCAGTTTCTTTTCTTTTTTTAAAACATCTGTCCAACGGATTTATTGTCTTCATCTTGATGCCTGTTGAAGCAGATGTTTGATTCTCAGCAGCAGCCCTTCAATAGCCTACCCTCGAATTTCTAAAGCAACCCCTCTTCTTATAGGAATCTTTCCTTGCTTGACAAACCACTTTCTCCAATGCAGAAAGGTATCACTTTTTCTACCTAGAAATCAACCCTTGCCAAGGTGGCCAATTTCAGTGCCGGTAGCCAGCCCCAGCAAACTTATTCCAGGATTACCCAGAAGGGGCTGCGGACGTCGGAAAGATGGGCCGTGATTCAAAATCTTCTTCTTACATACTTTATTATTCTTATTTCTATGCTACTACTTTTCCTCTTTCACAACCCTCTTATATACCATTACAAAAAAAAAAAAAAAGCATTGTTTTCACGGTAATCAATGTCATCAAAATACAATCTAGTCTGGGGCACATTCTTCATGGTTTACGACCCTTAGATTTACAACAGGGATGAGAAGTTACAGCAAAGAGACATTATCCCAATGCATAGGAGACATTCTGGTGCCTTGAAACCTTTTAGTTAAACATTTGTTCCTACATAAATCTTTTCTTTTCTCTGAGAAGCAAGTTAACCTTCACATATGTTTCTTAACCTTTGTCTGTTAAGTCTTGTTAATTTTAGTTGTTAGGTGCAATTAACTCTCCATTAACTTCTTCCATACACTATCTGTTTATAGCCTACAAAAACATCACCTATCAGAACATTTAAAAAAACTGAGGCTATGAAAAACAACTTCCCTATTTTACTGATCAGACTTCTTATTTATGTAACTGTAGATTCTCATAGTCCTTATCTATAGTCTAATTGTTTTTAGGAATTCTTGTACCCATAGCCCTTATTTATAGCCTAGTTGCTTTTAGGGATTCTTTATTGTCTTAAACTAAGGCTACAAGGAAGAATGTTTATAATCACTAAGCCTAAGCTCATAGTAATTCAATTGACAAATCCTGTCTCCTAGCAGTCTTAAGAACATTGTTAATATAAGTATTAAAACTACCTATGATTACAAGTAGAATAAATGTAGCTAATATATGGCTTCTAACTGTTAATAAAAATATACTAAAGTGTAGGAGAGTCAAAATCTAAAGTAAAGAGATACTAATAAAATCATGAATAAATCAGAGAATGATTCAACAAGAGAAAAATTAACTAGGGACCTGTGCATAGAATATTTCTTCCTTGTAGCTCTGCTATCCAAGGAAAATAGTTCATCGTCTCATTTATTTATTTTAATTCCTCGATTAATATGTCTCAATTTCTTCATTTTAATTCCTTAATTATTGTGGCCCCTGCCACTTCAGGCCAGGAGGTGCTCGGGTCTGCGGGCATCACGGTGTGTAGATGGAGCAGCAGCATAGAGGAGTCGTGCATCCATCATTAGGACTAAATATTTCATCCTTTGGGTGACTATTGTAAATGGTATTGCGGTCCTAATTTCTTTTTCAGCGCTGTCATTATTAGTATAGAGGAATCCAATGGATTTTTGTATGTTGTTCTTGTAACCTGCCACTTTGCTGAATCCTCCAATGAGTTCCAGTAGTTTTTTTGCTAAGCCTTTGGGGTTTTCTATGTATAGGATCATATCATCTGCAAAGAGAGAGTTTTACTTCCTCTTTGTCAATTTTGATGTCTTTAATTTCCTTATCTTCCTTATAGCTCTGGCTAAGACTTCCCCTGTTTGCAAGGGAAAGGCTTTCAGTTTCTCTCCATTGAGAGTGATGTTGGCTGTTGGTTTTGTATATATGCTGTCACTTATGTTGAGGAATTTCCCGTCAATTCCTACTTTGTTGAGTGTTTTTAGCAGGAATGGATGTTGGATTTTGTTTACTTGTGCATTATTGACTACACAGGCTTTCAGTTGTGTGGATCATGACAAGCTATGGACAACATTACAAAGTATAAGTACTTCTGAACACTTAATTGTGCTCATGAAGAATCTGTACATGTACCAAGAGGCAGTTGTTTGAACAGAGCATGGGAACACTGAATGGTTTCAAATTAAGAAAGGTGTGCGACAGGGTTGTATTCTTTCACCATACTCATTCAACCTGTATGCTGAGCAAATAATCCGAGAAGCTGG